GAAATAACCATGCAAACAATGTAATACTTTCTCATACAGTGTTCGCAGCATTCAGCAAATACGCATCTATACCATTTAAACAAGTCTTTGAATATAACAGACATACTCAGATATTTCCTTCAAACAATGCTCTGCTATATTCAGTTGGCCACTATATCATTAATGTCATATTTACTGTATGTAAATAAGCCCTACCCGTTTGTTACACAGATTTATCAGATTACTGAGTGCACTGCTGATTACAGTGTTTACTTCCTTTTTATTCATAATTTTATCGATCTCTTTTGTGAAAAATACTATAATAGCATTAGAGAATCAAGAAGTTTCTATATAAAGTTTCAATCTGTTTATTTTAGAGATGTAGGTTCAAAGTAAGTGATATATTTTACAATTACTTCTAATTTAAAGTATATATTTGTTGTTATGCATGTGTTATTTACTATCTTTAAAATAAATGGCGTGATATCACATTTGGCCTATCAACTTTATTTCAGCATCTGCCATATTGGCCGATCACTAATACATATGATTGCAACCTAATGTCACAATGTGTTTTAATGTCTGAATATATAGCAATGCAGCATAGCAGACCTCTTTGACCCAGGGGCAGCCTTCTGCACGGGGGAGTTGAAGAAAGCATCACTGAAGAAGTGCAAAGACCCGCTGAAAACCACACGCGCATTGTTTCTTGCCTGCAGACCGGCAATCAGGAGGGTGTTCTTTCCAACTGCATGAGGATACTAGAAAGCAAAAAGGGAACTGAGGTGAGTGCAAATTAATTTATCAAAAATGAAACATTAAAAGATTTTGGCTGTCCGACTTCTCAAGCACTACATTTTGAAATATTGACCTGTGAGATGGGACGATCGGGGAAATAGGAGTAAGAGGTAGAGGATCCTGTCAGAATGTCCAGCACCAGAGAGTTATCTGGGTCAGCCACCATGCTGAGGAAAAGAGGTAAATTGTAATTGGATTAATTACATTTGTACAATAAGCAAGTAACAGGGTATCACGAGACCACTTACCCAACACCTTTGAACAGGACTGGTTTATCAGTGGGCTTGCCAACTATAGTTGGAGCTTTAAGAAGATTCTCTGGATCTGCAACAATCAGTGTGTGCTGTACAAAAATAAAGAATTCAACTTTAAAACACATAAGGCTTAAAACAAAGATTTGAAACTGTGGTGTAAATGTCAGGAGAGTAAAAGAATTGCTATATTAATTTAACACGAAATAGCAACCCATTTTAATTCCAAGGTCAAGTTCACCCTCAAGTATTTTACATATTTAATATATCTATTATATAATATATAATAAATTATTATTTTCTATTGTCACCATAATCTTTTTTTATACATAATTTACATAAAACAAAAATCAAGAGTAAAAAAAAAAAGATTAATATTTGTATTTTGTTTACCTGCATGTCATGTGACCATTAACCAATTTCAGAGAACAGTGAACATGTTAAATGTTGTTAAATTATTAAAATATTACAAGGAATTATTTTAAATCAAAGTGATTCGGCTGAAAAACTTTTTTTGGGCATCCCTGGCCTAAACCAGTGACTTAATGGCCATCTTGCTATTGGTTAAAGCCAAACAGCCTACAGTAGGTGACATCAGATAAAGCAAAAAATCATTCCAGAGACTATGCAAATAATTACATTATGAAATTTCAAAAAACTTTTTCTCACTTGAATTTAGTGTACTGAAAAATCATGGTCAATAATACTAGAAGAGAGCATTAAGAAAATAAATAGTCAACTTTTATTTCATGTTCATGTTGAACATTTCCTTTTATATAAATTGTTTGAAGCTCTATTTTTCCTCCTTCCATTACTTACCTCGCCAGGATCAGAAACATCATAGTTATGGTGGTCAATGACAGCGGTTTTCTCCTCATCAAATTCAATCCCACATTCACTGCCTAGCTCTCTCAGAGGGTCACCTGCCAGTCATAGTGGTAAAAAATTACATTGACATGATCAACAGGCCAATATGTGTACACATTTGCATAACCAATACAGCACTCACCAATATCAGAACTGGCAGCAACAAGAACATTTCCTCCACCATCAATGAAGGCTGTAATGGTCTCTACATTGATGTTGCCCCCAAAATCTGTTCCATTGGGAATTTGTAAACATAAGATGGTTATTCAAGCATAAAAATGGCAGCCCGACATAAAATTCATGTTAACTGTAACACAGGCTTCACCTTCTACTGATGGAGAGAAAATGATGAGATGGTCGTAGAGGAACTGGCCATACTTTATCAGAGAGAGACCAGGATCATCAGCAGTCTTGAAGGAAAGGTCAAACCCACGATCTGAGAACAACAATGTAATGGTTCAAACAATTAAGAAACGTACAATACCTTTCTGTGTCAGTAAAAGCATGCGGGTTCAATTACTCAATCAGAGTCACATATTCTTAACACGCATCTTCCACTCATAACGCATATAAATGAGCATATTATACTTATTTTCTGATGTTAATGTGATAATTTGAAGTTTTTTAATAAATAAATAAAAATCATATAATGTGTAGCTCACCTGCTAAACTGCGGAAGAAGATTGAATGAGTGTCTCTGATGTTGGGATTGTCCACCAGAACGAGAGTCTTTCCATTTCCTAAAACTACCTGCAACATTAACGCCACGGATAAAACAAACAAAGTGCTTTTGCTGAACCCGCCAGACAATGTGGGAATCATTGTAGCACGCCGTCTTTTGCAGGTTAATGTTGCAAGAGTCGCGGTGTCCCTCATTGACAAGCAACCTATCGCCATTTTCCTCCTTTGGACAACGTCAGCGCTAACGCGGATACGAACTCTGACCCAGAGCTGCAGCCAATCGCGTGCTGCCTCATGGACTCATTAATATTATAATGAGCCTAAATATCTTTAATCGTCCGCACATAATGTTTTTTTTTTTTTTGCAGGAAATTTGTTAAAATGTACATGCAGTTGAAACAACTATTTGTACACGTTTATTTCCAAACAAATAATATTTGTTAATTTAATTCTATTTAACTTATGCGAGAAGAAAGTATAGCATTTTTGTGTTATGTACAAAGTATCTTTCTTTAAAATTTTACGACCAACAGAGGTCAGTACAACACAATGTTTTTCGATGGGCTGGCCTCGGTGTGTGGTAGATTAATGCTGACTTCACATGCTATCGGAAATTGACTACTTCCCACTTCTGAAGATGTGAATACGAGCTCATCGCATTTAAATTTTGCCTTGAGTTGAATTGTTCATGTCCAATTTTTTAACTAGGAAACTAGTACTTACGATAATTCCAATAACACGTGAAGGCAGCATGAGTCCAATTAATAAAACTGAATGTGGAGATATTATATATAGTAATTATATATTTGTTTGTTATATATATATATATATATATATATATATATATATATATATATATATATATATATATATATATATATATATATATATATTTTTTTTTTTGCCAAAACAATCCTTTTTATATATTAGCCTTTAATAGGCTTTGGCTTTTATTTGATATGTTTCTGAATGTTACCTTCTACATTTGTGTGGCGTTTCATTAATTAAATTACTTTTCATAATTTTCACATAAAAGTAAATCCAAAATTGCTTGCAATTTCTATTGTAACAGCTTACCACATATATAGTGCCACCGGTTTCACACACAGACGAGGCTGAAGCGAGTCCCGGACTAAAATGCATGTTTGAGCTGTTTTTACTGAAAGCAACTTGCTCTTGTTTTGTCTCAAGATGCACACCAGTAATGTTTTTTAAGGCACGTTTATAAAAGCTACTTAATGCCCTAATTGAACTATAAGGCCTAATCCTGGCCTTGTCTAACCAGGCCATAGTGTCAATAAATTTAATCTTTGGAAAATAATGGCAGAAATTATCAAGGTAGGCCTACGTGTCACATTTAGTTAGTATTCATTTTTTTTTATGGACTTTAAAAAAAAATTCTCTTCAGTTACTTGTTTCCTTTTTTCTAGTTTGCAGCCACTATGAGTTGTCATGGATATTCATTTAAGTTTCACTAGCACAATGGTTTGTAATTAAGGTCATCACCTTGTGTTTTTAAGTTCCTCCGTTTCGCTTGTGTTTGTTGTTAGTGCATTGCCTGAGTTTTCTTTATGTTATTAAATCAAGTTATATTTGAATCTACTTCGCCCACCTTCTTCGTCCCTGGGATAATATGTTCTTATACAGAAAATAAAAACCTGAGAAATATTCACTGGAGTAAAAAGTGGGACAAATAGCTCCAAAACAAATAAATTTATATTTTTAAATATAAAATCGACACATGAAACAACTGCAATCACTGCCACTGGAAGCCTTTTACTGAAAATAACCACACTTTAAAACCGCAAAGCACCCATACCTCTGATACCTGCTGTCCACGTTCATGCATTGTAATGTGGTCCAAGTAATGTTGTTTAGAAACTGATTAGATTTTTAAAGCTCTAATCAAAGTCTCTCAATGCATTTGATAAACCAATTTCATGAAAAATAATTTAGGGTAAACAACCAGTAGCCTTTCCTTTCCTGGCAATAGTATAAACATTTACTCAATACCAACCAAAAGATTTATTTAAAAGGTTTATTTACAAACCATTAAATTGTTTTTCCATGTTTTGCACTATAAATGTGGCTTAATTTATATTGTATCTAAAAGTGATACAATATCCAATAAAGTTCGATAAACTCCAACATAATTGGACCAAAATTACCTTGATCACTCGTAATACTAGTTCATATAATCTGACAATCAAAGCTGTGATATTCAAAAATAGTAGCTTAATTGCAACACACTTCACTGATCAAAAGAAGCAACAAGAGGTTTTTTTACAGTCCACTATCTAGTAAAAAAAGATAATGTTCAAGCAGTACTATGCTCAAGTGGAAAATGAGTAAACTCTACAAACCACAAATAAATGAATAAAATAAAAGTTCGGTAGCTGATTTGTTGAAAAATCAAACTTGTAGGACAGTCAATTGTTTAATTGGCCTCAGTAAAACAGTCTACAATAGTGTGAATACATGAGCTGGCAGAGGACATATACAGGGAGACAACAGTATTAAAAGGTTTGACAGCATTACAAATTAAGTTTTCATATTAAATTAATTTTTTTTCTTGTCATCTTTTTTATTTAAACTTAACTCTATACATTGTAGTTTTAATAAGCGCTGCACACATAGTGCTGTGGTTTGAGATATGACATCTACCTAGAATTTTTAAAATTTGAGCGCGTTTAATTATAGTGTGTTAATCAGTAATAACCATACCTCTGGTGAGAAATATTACACTTTGTGACAGTCTAAAACTCCATGTGAATCTCTCTGTCCTTTTAACTCTCCTTGGGTTGAATCGGGTCAGAAACTCCTCACTCTCCTTGGTTTTCAGACCCCTCCTCTGTCTCTGCCTGTGAACCGGTCTCCTCCTCTGCCCCCTCAGTTTGAGATTCAGGCTGGACTAGAGCTACTTCTCCTTCCTCACTCTCCTCTTCCCGTGTCCGGAACAAGAGCTCCCCTCCCTGGATGACCTGCTCAGTTGTTTGCCATGTGCTGTCTCCAGCATACTGCTGATAAAAGTCAGAGTCCGCCTGAAACATGACCAGGGCCTGGGCAGTGTGAATGCGCACGTGCTGGGCGAGAGAGCTGGCATCCAGGAACTTCTCACCACATGAGTCACATGCATACAAGATCTGGGTGTTGGGATCTGCAGGAATAGATCAGCACACTGTTTCAGCTTTGCATTGAGTGTACAATGTACAAAAATTCACACATCTGTGTAACTCCAGGATGGATGAGTTACACAGTGAAAATTTTACTCATTTTCACCCCAGAAATTGAGAGGGAAAATCCATTTAATCGAGACTTCAGAAGCAGTATTGGTGTCAGTGATTCTGGCCTTCATTCATTGCACTTTCTAAAAAGATGTCATTCCACAAATATTTGAAAAATACCATCTGTATGTTGTTTCTACATTAATTAGGAGTTTCAATGTGAAATTATGTATTACAATATAAAAATATCTTACAAATTTTAATGTTAGGTGCAATTAATAAAAATGTGCAATTAATTAGTTGACAGCACTAATATATACAGTATATAAATTATGTATTACTCACCTGCTTCTTGGACTTTCTCCACTGCTTTTGTGATCTCTGCTTTCAGTGCTTCAGTTTCATCTGCGGACACAGAGGTTGCCACTGGCAACACTACAGGGGTCAAGAACAACAAATAATATTAGGAGGCCGTCCAAGTACCATTATGGTGACACTCAGATTTAGTATATGCCCTTAGAACCACCTTTCTACAAGGCACAGTGTAATAATCAGTTTTATCACACTCCTCTGTCATATTCTCTCACCAGTGAGCTGTGCTACGGCACTGCCAGCCAGAGCCTCTGTGGCCAAAGTCACAATGTCATCTGTAGTAACCGTGACGATGTTGACTTCATTACTGTCGAGCTCTGAGCCCGGGCCAGAGTCAGACAGCAGCTTCTCCTCCTCCTCCTCCTCGTCGTCATCCTCCTCAGCCACCACCAGTCTCTTCATGCCCGCCTTCCCCTGGTGCACAGTCTTCACATGGGAACGCAGATTGTCCACACGGTTGAATCCTCGGCCACACTTATCGCACAGGAAAGGTTTCTCCCCTGTAACCAAGAATTAGAAGCACATAAGAGAGAACTACATAAGAAAAGGCTCAATTATAACAAAAAATTGCATCTTACCTGTGTGAATGATGATATGCTTTGAGAGATCTCCCACATTGACAAATGCTTTGTTACAGGTGTGGCACTTGTGTGGTCGAATATTATCATGATGACGGATGTGATTGGCCAGCTGGCTGGACTGGACAAACCTTTGAAGTATGATAGTCAAGTTTAACTTTTAATGTGTGGTGCCATTGTGAATCTATGCAAAATCATTTATGCAGTGTCTCAAATACCTTTTTCCACAACGGTCACACACGTATGGTTTCTCCCCAGTGTGTTGGCGAACATGGGCAATGAGTGAACTGGCCTGTGTGAAGCCTTTTCCACAAATCAGACACAGACAGGGCTTTTCCCCTAAAACAGTAAGACAGAGACATTCAAATTAACTTTTAAAGACTTTCAACTTTTGCTGTTTGAGCATGAAAAAGTCATGCAAATTTACAAAGCAAAAAGTCTGCTCTATATCAGTAGAGTTTACGAACTCCCAGAAACACCTCGATTGTAGTCTCGAGTGTTCTTCTGGGAACGTGCATGTCACAATATTCCTCATTTGGTTGAGTTGCGTTAGTAGGGTGTTGTCGCTATCTCCAAGAGATGCTGTTTTTTCCACCCAGATCTAATGCGTTAAGGGGTGTGACATTTCTGAAACACGCTTGAAGGGGTTGACCAATCACAACACACTAATCCAGCCAACCAATCAGAGCACACCGCACTTTTTGGAAGACAGGGCTTCATAGAGACCAGAACTAAACAGAGTGTTACAGACTGACATACAAGCATGAACATTCAAAACAAAATCAAGACTTTGTAAAAGGGTCCTCTCTTTATAGATAACTGTGACTGAGGACATGAGAAACGGCTCATACCTGTGTGGATGCGCACATGTCTCTGCAAGGCCCCAGGGTCGGCAAAGGCTCTCTGGCAGTGCATGCAGACGAAAGGCTTTTCACCACTGTGCACACGCAGGTGTCTCTTCAGGTTGCCTGTGAACAGAGGGACATTAAAATTCCTTTGCGCATGCATATATTGCTGTGAAAATGCCATAACTTGTCCCAATGTGTAAATCTCACCTGAGGTGGTGAACTGTTTCCCACACTCCTTACACTTAAGTGGCCCATCTGCAATGTGGATCTTCAGATGTGCTTTCAGGTTCCCCAACTAGAAAAAGAAAAAAATATATAAAATTAAATCTATTTGTTCAGTTATCAGTTTACTGTGCATTCTGCCTCAATAACAAAAAATTATGTGTCCTCAGCTTTTCGTTATGCCTGATTAAAATGCCTTTGTAATATAGCCTACTGTTGTAGAAATGGCTACAATATAATTTCAATAATATGTTATAATCTATACATTTTGTCTGCATATTATATTATATTTTTATTATATTACATTTATATTCACAGAATTATTTCTAATATTACTACAGAATTATTTCTACATATAATATATAAAAAGCAAAAGAGTATAACATTCTGTTGTGATGCTAACAATATTAATATATATGTACATTATTATTATTTCATTTTATCTAGTTTGTAGTTAACATTAGTTAACTACAAACATGAACTAACAATGAGCAATACTTCTACAGCACTTAATGTAGAACTATTTCTCATTATTGTAGAACTATTGCTCAACATTTACTAATACGTTTTTAAAATCAAAAGTTGTATCTGTTAACATTAGTTAATGCATAACATGAATATGAATTTACTAACATTAAAAAAGGTTAATAAATGCTGTAAATATATTGCTCACTGTTAATTCATGTTAACTAATGCATTAACTTATGTTAACAAAAGAGACCTTGTTGTTAAGTTTTACCATAAAAACAGTAATATTCTGAAATATTATAATTTAAAATAGCTGTTTTTAAAATGTAATTTATTCTTGTGATGGAAAAGCTGAATTTTCCGCATCATTACTCCAGTCTTCCGTGTCACATGATCCTTCAGTAATCATTCTTATATGCTGATTTGCCACTCAAGAAACATTTCTTAATATTATCATCAATGTTGTAAACAGTTGTGCTGCTTAAGATTTTTGTGAAAACCGTGCTGAATGTAATGAATAAATTTGAGTCCCTCAAAAATTACTGACCCCGGACATTTGAACGGTACAGTATATATTTCATACACATCATTATAAGACTGTAAGGTTTTTCTAATTACATTTATAAAGACAATGGTGGTTAAATGTAACACCAGTTTAAGTGGATCTCTCACCTGGTTGAATTTCTTGTCACAGTGCTGACATTTGTGACCTTTATTAGTGTCGTGGGTCTCTAGATGTCTCATCTTGGCAGTGGGGTCAGAAAAGGCCCGTTCGCAGTAGTCACAGTGGTAGGGTTTTTCTCCACTGTGCACCAACTGATGCCGCTTCAGGTTTCCAGAAGTGGTGAAGAGCTTCCCACAGTCCTCACAGCTGTACCGCGCCTCATCCGTGTGACGCTTCCTGTGTAGGTTCAGCAGACTGATTTGCCGATAACTCTTTCCGCACGTGGAACAGCAGTATGGCTTTAGAGGACTGGAGAAACAGAGACGTGTATGAACGTGTGTGAGGAAAACTGGAGATGGTGAAGTTTTTCTGTAAATATGGTTTACTTTATTTCGTCTTATGGTTGACAAGTCAGATGAGACTGTAGAGGAAGAGCATTAGACTGTATGGATATAGTGCTCACCTGTGTGTTTTCTCATGTGCTTTGCAGGCAGCTGGGTCTGAGAAAGCTTTGTCACAGTCTCTGCAACTAAATGGCTTCTCACCAGTGTGAATGCGCATGTGACGTTTAAAGTTGCCTGTGTGTGTAAACTTCTTCCCACAGTCCTGCAAGAATCAGAAAAACTACAATGAAAATAGACCTATTAAACCTGACAGTGGAAAATCTATCATTTTCACTGGTACTGTATAAAAAACAGACCTAAAGGACAAAGACAATAAGGATTACAAAATTGAAGAATCTCTCACCTCACATCTGTGTGTGACAGAGCCATATGCTCTGGACTCACTGCGCTCAGCTGCGGAAGCAGACTGCTTCCCCTCCGAACCCGTCGTTTCTCCATCCTCTGTGTCCATCTCCTCTTCTTCGTCGTCTTCCTGCTCCTCATCCTCCTCCTCCTCCTCCTCCTCCTCCTCTCCTTCATCCTCTCCATCTTCTTCTTGTACCACGTTCTCCATGCTCTCAGCTTTAGACACACTTTCCTCTGCATCATCAACTTTTAGCAAAATTTTGAACAGTTATGAAACCTAAACATAAAGATATAAGGTGAATGTACACCATAGTTATAGACAGCAGAATTTACCTTGAGTAGACGTGTGAACGGTTGCATATTTCGACTTGCTTCTCCTTCTACTAACAAATGACCGTTTAGCCGCCATCCTCTGTGAGAGTTCTGTAGGAGCAGTATAGTGTCACACAAGTATTGAAACATGGTAACACTAACAAAATCGTTACGAGTAGAGAATGGACACTAACTAGGAGTGTAGTCTGTGTCAGAAGGGTCATCTTGGTATGGTGGAATCTCTTTTGTGGCTTTCTCTTCTTCTGTTTCTGTCTTGCTATCCAAGACAGTGTCTTTTTTTAGCCTCGTTTTAGACGGCCTACTAATTTTGCTGACAGCTCTCAGAGACTTTGTGCTTTGTTTCTCAGTCATGTTACTCGCAGCCTCCTGGGTTTCTGCTGTTTCTGGCTGCGAGGGAGCTTCCTTCACTTCAGGAACCACATTCTGAGACACTGAATGACTCTCCTGCTCCTCCTTGGAACTTGCATCCTCCGGATTCCTCACAGATCTCGGCTGTTCCTCAGTTACTACTACTTTACATAAACAGAAATGAGAAAGGGTTTTATAGATTTATAACTTCATTACCTTCTTAAACTAACAGCATATGGTAATCTGAACTCGGCACTAACCAGGCTTGGTTGATGAAGGAACAGTCAAGGACTGAAAAGCTGAACAAGCATTGACAATTTCCTGCATTTGAAGGAAAGTAGCTACAACAAGAACGTCCTCTATGTTCTGAGGGTTCAAAGTCAGCTTTGCGGTGTACATAAACTCAAGGACCTGCTCAAGACCTGAATACAATATTGAGCACATTAGACAAAGGCAGAAAACAACAAACAACCAAAGAGCAGAGAAATGTAAAAATTTAATTACATATGATTAACCACAAAAGATCAGATTAATGGGATAGTTCACCCAAAAATAATTACTCCCCCTCATGTTGTTCCAAAAGTGTATGGCTTTCTTTCTCTTGTGGAACAAAAAAAGTTCTTTGTCCATACAATGGAGATCAATTGTTTGTTTCCCAACGTTCTTCAAAATATTTTATTTTGTGTTCCACAGAAAGAAAGAAATGCATTTGAAACAACATGAGGGTGAGTAATTGATGACCAAATGTAAATTTTTGGGTGGACAGTCCCTTTAATAAAAGTTATCCGTAAGAATGCAAGCCTACCTGATGCATTGCTGATATCAAGATGAACAACTTCTTTCTGGTCCAAAAAGAGAGTGCGGAAGTAAGCACTACATGCCGCCAGCACAGCCTTATGGGCCTTGAAGTCAACTCCATCCACCACAAAAGTGCAGTCACAAAGAAGACCCAACTGACGTTGTTCATTAAGTTGCCCTAGGACTTTCCCACTATGCCAAGGAAAGTCCATAATGGATGGAGCAGACTATTGCACTTTAGGCCACAGTATCCTATTCATAAAAAAAGGAGAAAAAAACAAATGATTGCACTATTGCTGCTTTTGCATTTGAGGCTCACAAACTAAATGCCCCAGTTTGCAAGGATGTAAACAAATTGAAGTGAACCAGGGCCTTAGTCTGGTCAACTTAGTCCCAAGACATTCATATCAATTCTGTCCCAGTCCCTGTAAATTTTACCATTATGTAAAAGTTTACGAATCAACAACTATCTGAATGATGCAGAGAATAGTGATTATGGCCATAATTCAATTTTTTTAAGTACTTTCACAAAAAGTACTAAAACTGAATATTTATTTTTGTGCTATGATATACACCTCATCCAACTGTAACGTTACTGCTATATAGGAACATCTCATATCTAATGGAATATCTGTTACACACAGTACAAAATTATCGCTCTATGGTGCTTTATTTTCATTATGATTCCGTGCGTGTATATTGCCAAACATTAATCATACAACAGACTACAGACGTTATTTACTTCAATAAACAAACATCATTAACAGTCCGTGTGTTTCTGTGCGACACTGAAACGTTTATCTCGAGCTCGCTCGGGACATTTTGTCCTGCAGTCTAATTCAAACTGTCATTACCAGCCGAATCGAGCACAATGATGTCTGAATGTCTGGCTTTAGCGAGTAAATGTGTCTAGTGATTTGGAGAGTAACTGCGCAATACCCCAACAAGAATGTGACGATGTTGCGGATTGATTATGAGTCCTCTCTGTCTCTCTTAGCTCCGGGATTAATTCAGCGTGCCTGGCCCTGCTGGATCAAGATGGCGCTGACAGAGGCGGCCTATAATCCTGCCTCTTCTTTGCTTATTTTAGCTGCGCGTTCGTTAGAGACTTGCCTGAAAAGTATCCCTAAAACAATTCGATGATCGGGTCATGTTTGACGTTCTTTACCTTGTATAATGGACGAGTTTCTAGCTTTCCCTGACTTCAGCTGATCCCGTCCAATCGAGTGTTTCGGTGATCGATCTCACTGCTCAGCCTCGTCGCGCCGCCATCTTCCGCTCTCTGATCGATTGATAGTGGCCGAGCGAATGGCTGGAAGTTAAACATCATAGCGCATGCGCGGACTTTTCTTGTTGTAACTGTTTTGACCACATGACGGCGAACTTTAGCTATCATAGAGCAGTGATCTAATAATAAAACCAGAGTAAGGAAATATCCATAAAAAACGCAGCTAGTTTATGTTGTAGATTTTTTCCCTAAACCTAACCATACCACCATAACTTATACTCTAGCGCGTCTCTTGACGTTAGCTAAATTCACACTTCAGCGAATCTCCAGTGGACTCACTACAGCATCCGTCTAATCCTATATTCCAGCTAGTCTACAGTCGACTACAGCCGAGTCGATAATTCTAATTTAGTTGTTTTCTTGCTGCGCAGCTTAAATGACAGACAAACTTGAGTAAAGGTGATGATACACAGGGCAACTTTTTGAGCAATGTTGCTGGGCAATCTTGCCGAGCGATTGTTGTTTGGGACAACAACATTGAAAATGGGGAATACATTTCTATCTGGATTATTTAGATAGGTCGTGGGCCCTGTGTCTCATCTGGTTGCCCGTTAACGGCAGCATTGCCCAGCAACATTGCTCAAAAAGTTGCCCTGTGTATTATCACCTTAATTGTCCTTTAAAAATGCTCTTTATACGGCCGGGAGTTCTCGAACAGTTCTCAGAGAATCTCCCAAAAAGAACCAATAAGCATGGCCGGTGGATCTCAGACAAATCCCATTGAGAATCCCAACTGTAAACACAAATACAACAGTTTTTATAGAAAATGAGAATGGGCGAAAATTGCATGATGCATTATAATTTCCCTACAATTTGATTGGTTCTTCATTATTTCATAATCACACGTTTCCAAACCATACTGTCTAGTTTCATTTCCCCAACTATGTTATTTATGCACACACTCAAAGTCACAAGTTTTCCATTGGTTTCGTACAGTACACTCTGTTCAATTGATACATGTTAAATAAGGTTAGATGTTAGAAGCATGGTTAGTTTTATATACAGTCTAAAATTTCCACAACATTTATTAATCGGGCCATTTTGCGTTTTAACACCACCACTGGATACATATCAAAATATGTTTTGAATTGATGCAAATCTGAGGGGGCAGTTATAGTGCACATTTTAGTCATTAACCAAACCATCAGTGAACCATTACCATGTAGCTTTAGGCAAAAATTGGCAGACCTATTTCTGCTCTTTAGGTGCTTTACTTATAATTTAAGCTTATTACTCTTTATGTTCCCAATTCACATTTAAGAACTTTAGTAGCTACATCTGTATGTTGCTACATTTTTAATCTCATGTAAATGTTCATATTTCCTCAAGAATTTAGAATATTAATATACACTTTGAATGCTGGAAAACACTCCCTTAACCAGCTGATTTCCTGGTTTTAGCTGCTCTCCCAATCTGATTTTAAAGGGGTTTGGGCATTTTTCAGAGACCAGCTGACCTTTCAGCTAAACCAGCAAAGACTAGAATAAGACGACTGGGAGACCAGCCAAATCCAGTCCAGCAGATCATTTCAGGATAATTTCTTTTTTAGTTTTAATTTCCAATTTTGAACGAAATTATAATCTGTCTTAATATGTACAACTGATTTCCATACATTTGTATCTGGTTCAGCACAGTGACAGGTTGATGGATGACAAAGCATAAAAATAGTTGATGATAAGACTGAATAATAACAGCAGGCTCTATTTATAGAATAAGTACTCAGAGACACAGTACCTGTCATTTGCTCATGATGTCCACTTTAATGGAAGTGGACAAGAACCAAATCACTGACTCACAAGCTCAAAATATTCAGCAAAGGTGTTCTGGTTTTATTCTGTTCTAAAGTGGTTTTAATCACACAACACAACAATTTAACATTTAGAAAATGTACCTTTTGATAACAATAACAATCAGTTCAATAAATAGATTTCTCACCTTTTGGGAATGAGTTGCATTATTTGCTCTGATTGTTTGTCATACAGTGGGTTCCAAAAAATGTGAGAGACATAATTTTTCAAGAATATCTTAGTATGGTTTGTCCTTAGCAGTGTTCAAGCTGCATGGACTCGACAAGTTTTCGTCAAACCTGATGATCATGATTCTCCAGCATAATTTGAGAATGACTGAAAAAAACATCTTGATCTTTTATGAAAGCAAGAAAATCTAACCGCCTGTACAAAGAGTCACATGATTAGTGTAACAAATTTGTTTACTTGATTAGTGACACAGAAATAGTGCAGAATCTGGAACACTTCCTATTAATTTAAACATAATTTTTCTTTCTTACTCTCAAAATCCTAAAATGTTCTCTTTCGAATCACAGATTTTAAATGTGGTCTCTGACTTTTGGACCCCACTGTACGTATATTGTAAGGTGATATACAGTTGGCAGGGAATTGAAGTTAGCAGTGCATTTGTCTTGAATGTTTTGAATACATATGACAGGATTAGATTCCATCCAAGTCTAATGAGAAGAAATGAGAGAAGGTCATGGAGGAATGACAAAGCAGGACTAAGTAACTATATTTTCAAGGTCATTTATCACAGGGAAACAGATACAGCAGGTGGGGAAAGATCTAAATTTTGATCTCTGTGCGGAACGTCTGTGCGTGCTCTAGTTTTGCAGTGTTTCTCTGTGCTTTTATAGTGAGAGTCCCATCAGCCCCTAAACATGACTTGACCGAGGTGGGGTCCACATCCTCTGGTAGTTGGCATTTATGGGTAAAAGTGTTCAACACTGTCCCATCAGTAGCAAGCTGTTGAACAAAATGCATACATATGGGAATTAATGATATTCTGAACAATTCAGTTGTATTATACAGAGGCCTGTATCTGTTTACCTTTTCAGCATGAACTTCAATCTGATTGTTTGAGGTGGTGACTATCACATCTTCAGGCGAGAAGTCTCGGACATCCACTGTGAATTGATATGTGTCTCCCAGAGTCTTGATGTTCCCAACTGTCCCTGTTCTGTCTAAAGGAAAACATAAAATCGAATGTGATATCTGAAATATATTACACAAGCGTTCTGGAATACTTGATTCTGATTGGTCAGTCGCACCATCAAGGGCTCTGATATTATTCCCTGTTGCCCATGCCTTGAGCTCTTCCGGCACTACTTTCGTGTTTTTGTAAACATGTTTTTATATTTACATACAAGCGTAACTGGCGTCAGCTTGCGTCTTAATTATAGACTGTGGTTAAAATTGACATCATATATTAATAGGTCAATTACTGTAGAATTGTTGCAGCTTGTAGCTAGGTAGATTGTTTTGTAGCCTACATCGTAATGGACTTTTTTTTCTTAGTGGGAGCTTAAAACAGCCAAGATTATAAAATAAAATAAAATAAATGTTTTATTTATTTTCTTTGTTATTTTCAGTGACAAACTCATGCTGTACTTAAATGCATTCTGAATGTGACTGAAACTATCAACTAAAGTATTAACCCTGTTATTCCTCACTTCTGGGTCAAGAAAAGAAGCATAACTTTTTTTAATGATAGGGATTTTTCAATATGTATTCTTTAATATTTTGGGGGTTACTTTTTAGAGGATTTCATGATTCTGGACAATATTCACCTGTATGTATATATTTTCACTAACTTATTGAAGTATTTTCAGACATAATTACTTTTATTAGTTTTTCCATTTGGATATATATTTTGACATTATCCATTGTCATTATTGTCCATTTTGTGTGTGTTTATATAGCAGATGCCACATGAGCCATCAAGTTTCGTACCATTCCGATGAAGTAAAAATGAAACAACGTAAAAAGAAGATTTCACAACATAAAATTAATTAAATCAGCAATGAGTATTGAATATACTCGGTTATGTTACACAAACACCACTATGGTCCACCAAATGGGCATTCCTGTTCATTAATATCCTTCTAATGACGTGTGAAAATTTGCCTTGATGAATCTCAGACTATCACTTCATATTCATATATCAGGCTCAGCAACAGATCACCCTCGAGTCATTCCCCAACAGTGAAGTCACAGCTCTGGCTCTGGCCCAAAACATTCCTTAATTTACCCTTTCTCTGCCCGCCATGTACCCTTGTATAGCATGTGAACAATCTGCTGTTTTTACATACTTCTACAGTTACCAAGATGCAACTGTGAATATTAAATACATCTGCCTTCACATACATATCACAGTCAAATCTCAAGTCAAGTCAGTCTCATGCAGTCTTGAAATTCATATACTACCATAAATACGTTTCCAGGCCTCATGCAGTTGACACATTTGTACAGTCAGTGCCCACTTTTTACGTACAATCATTAAAAGTATAATTAGAATGTGACTATATCCAGTAAATGCTGATTCTCATCTAAAACAAAAATGTTTAAGGAGTTAAACCTGATAAAGATACATTAGGCTATATAGATCCATAAAGAACTAAAACCAGCCTTAATAACTCACTTGGAAATCCCAAAGCATCTTTTGGACACATGAAAGATCCAAAGTCCTCAGCAAAGAGTCCCCGGCTCTTTTCCATGTATGGGTTTGTTGAGGTTGAGGATGAAGACGAGGAGGATGATTTCTGGTGGTAACTGCGCTCCGACCGGTAGGCAGAGGAGTTGCTCGCACTCATTAGTGTTTAGATGGTTTGGTTGCCTCAAATTGATATCCAGTCAGGGCTTTGTATTGATACAAAGAGCACAGAGTTTATAAATGAGGTAGTTTTGTGTCCTGTCCTTTTTTAAAACATGGTATGAGTCCACTCTCAAGCCTGTTTGTATTAGATGTGTCTCCCTGGTTTGGCTATTGTCTGTCTAGCTGTCTTTTATATGGTGGGTCTAGCTTCTTACTTCTATGTGTGTGTGTGTGTGTGTGTTAATTGTAGGATGACAGTGTGCTATAATTATCATGCGAGAGAGAGGGGCTCTGTGGTCGGAAAAGTTTTGTGTGATGAGGACTTGAGGTTGAGAAAGGGGCTCTGACAAAGACTCAAAGATAGGAAAGGGAGAGAGATGGGGGGGGTTGAGTCAACAGCTGGCATTCCAGACACTCGCTCCCTGAAATAGCCATTCTCTTCCTCTCTCCCGTTCTGTGTGCTCTCCATCCATTTTTCTCCAGCCTGCCATCCACAGCAATTTGCCGTGATTTACAAATGCAGGCGTCAGAGGCTTGCGATGCCTGTCAATCTGAAAATTACAGTAAACACAGGTCCTAAGGGTGTTCATCTCTGCATAAACAACAATGCTGAGGAATGACAGTTCAAACTGAGGATTAACAGAAAGATGGAAGGAATGTCGATGAGAGAGTGACGTTGAGGGACAGATGACGTTAGGAAAACGGATTAGGAGGCATTTGTTTTTGGAGGAGAGCTGCTAATAATAGACATTTTAGTGTTGGTTTACTCCTCATTATTGCATGTATTTTCTGTTTCCTTTTCATGAGTCGTTTAAGATAGGGATGCACTGATATTACATTTCAGACTGATGCTGATAAGCCAATAATTACTTTTATGCTATGGTCAAATAAATGGCCAGTATTCAAATTCTATACAATTTTGTATAAATAGATACATTTTAAAAAAAGCTAAAATTGAATGTAGGCCTGATGCACATGAAAATGAATATTTATTTTGCTAAAGATTACATTTAACAGCATTATTTTTTATTATTAGAGATTTTAAAGATTTAAGTGAGTGTTAGATGACAGCAAAGGTAATCTGAATGTAAAAAAGAGGAAATTATTAAATATCCAATACTGACCAATACTGATAAATTAAAACATCTCTAATATTAGCGGATAACTTATTTGGTACCCATATAGTGATAGTGTTAAAGGGATAATTCACTCAAAAAAGAAAAGAAAATGATGTCATTATTTAATATTTACTCACCCTCATTCCAAACCTTCAGTGAAGCATAAAAGAAGATTTTTTTAAGAAATGTATCAGGTTTTTTTTCTTATTCTTGTTTTTGTCCATACAATGAAAACCAAAACGGTTTGGTTACCAACAGTTTTGAATAACAGGAGGGTGAGTAGATGCTGACAGAAGTTTCCTTTTTTGGGTAAACTATCCCTTTAAGATGTTAAGAGCATTTAAAGTATTGGATGTTTTAAAATAATAGGCATTTCTTTGGAGTCTGTGTTGTTCACAACCTCAAATCTAGTGGCCTCTCAAGTAAGTTACATGTAGTGTGCCCTATCACTTTAAAGACTTTCAAACATTGTCTAAATCTAGCTGAGAAACTCAACATTACTTCTAACAGCATGTGTCATGACACCAATGCAGCTCTTCTAATTTGATTCTGTGCTGAGAGAGAGAGAGAGAGAGAGAGAGAGAGAGAGAGAGAGAGAGAGAGAGAGAGAGAGAGAGAGAGAGAGAGAGAGAGAGAGAGAGAGAGAGAGAGAGAGAGAGAGAGAGAGAGAGAGAGAGAGAGAGAGAGAGAGAGAGAGAGAGAGAGAGAGAGAGAGAGCGAGAGAGCATTTAATCAGTCAACAGTATAATCACGACTAGCACAGTTTGTCCTCAGGCTTAGTGTGAGTTCACTTCAGAAAGTTCACTTGATATCCTCACAAGTATTCCGCTAGTTTATGGATGTCATTGGACAGCCCTCAGGGGACGGTTTTGTAACAGTATGAATAAACATAAGGGTGTGTAGATTAATGGGCCGAAATTTAATTTTATATTTACTTCAACCAAAGCTAAAGTTAAGAAGCTAAGGCTTCCATTGTTCATTTTCAATAAGTATCATACGTGAATACATTGCTGTTGGTAGTCCTGTACGCATGTTGCAAGACTCTTTACACTATACAGAGGGTCCTTGGACTGAAAAGGTTCAAGGACCACTGCAATATATGTAAACATACATGGAAGCTCAGAGAGAGTTTGTATTGTGTTATATTGTCTGTGATTTTCTCAGCTGCTGATCAATACATAATATAGGATTATCATTGTCACTCAATGTGAATGGCTTGTTTTGCTGGGACTAAGAAAAAGTACAAGAGCAACAAACAATGTAGCAGGAAATACACAAAATAGACTCAAATTATGGTACCAAAACAAATCATACAATAGTAAAGGCCGAGATGAGAAAGAAAATGCATTTAAATAGCCTGGTGCCGTCTATACCCCTCAGTCAATATATTCTCTTTTTGCATTTGCGGCTGTCATGATTCTATAAAAACCACCAGCGTCTGGACCCATCCGAGAAAAACAAATGGAAATTTACAGGGAAAATGAACAGAATGCGGAATGACAGAGGGTAGCCACTCATCAGTCATGGCAGGAAGGGTTATTATTGTGACATTTCAGTTCACACATATTCACCGTGTGATCCAGTCACTGCTTTGCGAGTAGCAGATTGGTTCTGTCAGTGGGGATAAAACAATTCCAAAATGATTAGGGAGTTTTAAATTTCAAATAAACTAAAACCTTCTGTCATTCAGTTTGCAGTGAGGGCTGTGTAACAAATTATGGGAGGAAGTAGAAAAGAATCCAAAATCAAAGGACAAGAAATAGTTTCAAGTTATCTATTACTTTGTGTTTTCAGAGAAAGTGGTGCCATCATAGGCTACTTAAAGCATTAGGCCATGCAAGCCCTCAGCAAAATTAGACAATAGGGAAATTATATGAGCATGTGCAACAATAATAGCTTTATTGTTTGCCATTGTGTGTGAACTACAAGAAAATGAATAATGCATCTTGATCTTGATTTGTCGTCTGAGATAGTGCTGGTCATCGTGACAATAATATAAATTCCACAGGGCAGGAAACAACAGTACTTTAAAATACAACAGAATGATGCAGTCATGTTTTTATTGTCTGAAATAGCTTAATGGAATCCACTGATGCATAATGAAATTATATTATTAGGCCTAAGTATTTTCACCGCAGCTATGGGATTTTGGAAATTCTGTGTGAATCAATTATTGTGCGTGACATTGATTTGGCGTGTGTGTGTGATTGCTTTCACCTTGAACGAAGGTTAATGCAATATGAAACATAGCTGGAGACCATGTAAAGGGGCAATCACTATCTAAATTATGCAATACATGAGAAAAGCTGGGTACACTTTTTAATTAATGCTGCTCTTTTCAACTGTTAAGAAATGTAGTCAGGGCTCATTAAAGCGAATGAGTGACGATGACAATTTTAAAGGTCAGTTGGGTTCTACTCTCTGCCCTCTCGGCCTTAACAACAAAGGTTCATAACGCATCACAGGTCATTTCATTAACCGCCGCCTAATTGAAAGTTCCAAAAGGCCACAATGAGTTATGTCCGAATGACATTTATGAGATCAAAATTAATTTCAGAGAAAACAAAAAAGGAAACTTCAATCTCGCATATTGTTCCAATTCAGTGCCTGCCCAGAGGCAAAGCAGCAGAGGACGTGCGCCATAAATAAGTTAAAGCTTAATTTTCCTTTCAGGCTACATCTGGTGACGCCAGGGTAAAGAGTCGATACTGACCTCAACGGTCTTTCATTTGGAATGAGTCAACAGGCTGAAAGGTGAGCTCTCTAACTTTATATTTCAGTCTTCAAATGACTTTAGTTTCGACATTAAATCATTTCCGATATTTCGGGAAGTATGTTAGGCCTAGGAGACGTTATTTGATTAAAGATTATGAGGGCACATACATTTAAAAAAATAAAATAAGGATGTGCATTTATAATAAGTACTGCAATATTCCATGAAAAAATAAGAAGTGTCCATTTTAATTTCATGGAGACACAAAGACCATGCATGTTGCATTTCAGACAATGGATGCAATTAGTGTAAATGTAAAGCATCTTGAAGAAACTGAAGAACAGTGCACACATGAAGATAAGACAGACCCAGATACGGTGGAGGAAAAGCTAATCAGCTCTAATGAGCATTCACGGAGACCCTGGCAACAATCACGGTCACGCATCAGAGGTGAGGCGGATCATTTGCAATTTCCTCCCCGTCATCAATGATCTCACTCTATCAATCCTCAATGCTGAAATTCAAACTATCATTAGTAACCACTGTGATTTGTGCTTTGCATTTGGGCAGAGTGCGTGCTATATGTGAAGAAGGTTCTGGTGTCTTTTGCTAGCATGGAGTGGTACTGTTATGCCCTCTTAGGGATCATCACCGCTCTAATGAGCTTCTTCATGGACATGACAGTGGCCAAGCTGCTGAATGGTGAGCAGTTCCACCTTGTCACTTAAAAAATGGTTAGTAGAAAATGTACATACAGATGCAGGTGGGTCAGTTGGGCTAACTGTTGGAGCACTGAAGCATTCTAGCAGCTGAGTGGGCCAAGGTCTTTCAAAAACAGACGACCTTAGATTCTCTTTTATTTCTCTTACACTGTTAAACCTCAATCCATGTCCTTCTCTCTTATTAGCTCACCAATGGCTGTACGGTTGTCTGAAGGGTCACCACCTGCTGCAGTTCCTCTGCTGGACGCTTTACCCAGCCTGCCTCTGTGCTCTGTCCACCAGCTTCGCCCACAGCATCTGCCCATTCTCTGCAGGTCAGATAGACACTCATCACATCTTTACATGGTAAAATAATAATAATACAAATAAAAATAATTTTGCTATCATTGCATAAATTGCTTATTAGGTACATCCAATCTGATTTATTATAATTATTTAAATCCATGATTAAAATAGAATGTGCTTTACACATGTAAATGCATGAGACAAAATCAACAACACATTTTTAGTGTAGGCCTATTTTAAATAAAAATGCATCAATTTACCTGCTTTGCTTGTTGGTTTGACTTACATAAAACATAAAACTGATTTGCTCATGCATTATGTGTTTCACCCATGACCCTTCAGGCTCTGGTGTTCCTGAGGCGAGGGCTATTCTCTTAGGGATAGACATGC